AGCCCGTCCCGTCCCGTCCCACTCTCCTGCAGGGAAACCCCCGTACCCCGACGCGCCCGCAAACCGGGGTAACCCCACCACACCCCCCCGGATCTCCCCGGCCCGGCATCCGAACGCCGAAAAGCGTGAGTTTCAGCAAAATGGCGCGCGTAGGTATATAAAGGCATACATATTAATATGCATGTAAAGTTATATCTGTGTAATTACATCTAGAGATAAAACTCTTCGTCTTTTAAAATACATATTTATGCTCCAACATGCCCTTTTCTTCCCCGAACTTCTCAGGGCCTGTGATAAATTATAAAGTCAGTTTCAGGGTTTGCTCCGACCACAGTGCTGTGTTTACATTCTTTCCGAGGCAAGCCTGCATGGTCGTAATTTATATCCTAAACACTTGAACGTAACTTGTTTATACAGGAATGACAGGACCTCAAAGAGAAAAAAACTGCCCTCGGCCGGCCCGTCGGGGCGCGGAGCTGCACTGCCCTCCAGCGGCACCGGCCCGGCCCGGCAGCCCCGAACCAGCCTCCCTGCCCCGCAGCTTCACCGAGTTTGGGCAGGACGCTTTGTTTGTTTGGTTTTTGTGGCTGTTGTTGGGTTTTTTCTCCTCCTTCTGATCGCCATTCCAAGCCAGGAAACGTAAGTAACGCTCCTAAGGAAGCTTAGGGGTGTGCTAAGAAAGGTTGCTAAGGTGGCTTTCAGGTTAGGGTTTCTGTCTTCTCCTGTAACGGTTTAAGGTTAATTCTCCTTTAACAGACCAAGGTCCCCTTTTCCCCGCTGAAGGTTCCCAAACAAAGGGCGTTTCAGAAGCGGTACCCTTTAGATATCAGTATGTTTCTCCGTGCTGTCAGGAGAACGAACCCAGCCTTTTTCTTCTGAATTTAAGGGTGACCAGCAGACGACAGGGAGGAAAAGAGTGGTCAGATTTTTAAGTTAATTTGATCTGATTTTGTTTTGATATTTGATTTTATTACTGTACCTTCCACCCTAGGAATTCCACTCTTGTTTAGTCTAAGGAACTGCAGTGGCTGCAGAGCCAGAGTCAAGACCAAAAGCTATGACATGGAGAGGACAAGGGTTTATGTTTTTAGCCATACAGTTAAAAATATTTGCATCTTTTTACATTTCTTAGCAGCCATCGAGCGTGCCCAAGTGCTTCATATTTTTGAAAAATAAATTATTTGTTAGAGATTCAGTATTCAGCACACTGAGCCCTTCAAGCCTGGCAATAGTGATCCAGTACTCACTTCTGAGACTCCTGGGGGCTTTCGGCATCAGGGAAAGCTGGAATGTTTGGTGTTAAAACCAGAAATCTAGACAGGTATATTTAGTCTGAGCATTATGAGAGAGACTGGGAGGACACAGGTGAATTTAAGCATGTGTTTACTAGTTACCCTGTAGGGA